TTTTTTTTTTTAAACAGCCAAGCGGGAGCTAGGGGTGCTGGTAAGAGCAGACACCGCTAGCACCGCCGGGGAGGCTCCATCTATTGGTGGGGAGCAGCACCTGCTGGAAACCGGGTCCAGCGTCCCTTTTTACAGACTGGTTTTGACTGGATTTGAAAACATGATGCTCCTGCCAGCATTGATTGCCCTGGGACCCCAGGGGATTTACTGTGCAGGGGGGGGGGGGAATCTTACAATTGAACACTAGTTCACCCCTATCCATCCCTGAATCCGAAGGCTGACTCTTACAATTGAACACTAGTTCACCCCTATCGATCCCTGACTTCGAAGGCTTTCTTTGGCCCAGTCTCACTACCCTTTCTGCCACAGGTCCCCTTACCCTTCCCCTTGTCCCGTGTCTACTCCCCTGTACCTTCCTCAACGCCCGTACCATTGCAAATCCACCATGCGTTATCTATTGTTTCCGTCAGTCTCTCAGGCTTCCCCTTGTCCCATGTCCACTTCCTTTGTACCCTCCTTAACACCCGTACCACTGCAAATCCACTATGCTATTGGTTGGGGGGGGGAAGGGGTCTGGGAATTTTTCCGCTGCTTTCATCGGGATTGAGGTGTCTACCGTGGTCCACTCTTGAAAGCTCAGTCGATAGTCTTTATACAGCCTCTCTCCCTCTTGTCCTCTCCCTGAGATCCTTTCCACCCTTCCTAATCTTCCCCCCTCTTTCCCCCCGAGCCAATTGTTACAGAAGTCCTGTAGTTTTCGTTCAATTTCTTGTTGTGTATGTGTGTATGGGATCTGGGCCTTAACCATTTCCCAATGAGTTGTTATCTCTGTCTGAATTTGTTGTTGTATGCTTTCAGTGAATTCGGCCCCTTCCAACCTCACTCCTTCCATCTCATATGTACACCGGCGTTTCCATAGTGCCCATAGCATCGCCCTGCATCCCATTTTAAACATATTCTGGGTGAAGACGTCCTCTGGTTCTGCATTCCATGTTTCTAGTAACAACGCTTGCCAATTCCATGGCCAGGGCTTCGTTACATCCAACTGATCCCAGATCCTGTCCCACCAGCGCCAAAGCAGGACCGCTCCTGGGCACTGCAGGAAGATATGTTTTATGGTTTCCAGCCTTTTTCTGGATGGAAAGGAGTGTACACAGAGTTTACACCAAGGCAAGGCCCGCCCACTTTGTTCCAGGGATGTCCTATCTATTAGCCAGTCGTTTGTTGGCAGACACCGGTGTTCGATCTGCCATTGAAGTGAGGCCAGCTTGGCTGGCTTCGTCTTGACAAGATGGAACCATTTTACTCCCCGAAGTGATTCCTTGCTGGTGTTCAATTGCTGCATCCATCTGGCCTCCACCTGGTCACGTAGATTAGACGCTGGGCGGAGTAGTCTATATGTTGATTTAACAGTCATGCTGTGTAATTTTCTGGTGCATGTCTTTCCCCTGTCAGAGGGAGAGGTCCATTTCCACTCCATCGGGTCAAAGGGTAGCTGGGTGATTGGGGTGTTTGGGAGGAAGGTCATCCATTTGTCCCTGTTTTCTAGCACTCTGATACGCAATAGTTCCTCCTTTTTAAAGAATCTTGTTTCTTGGGGCTCAGGTCGATACAATGTGTTGCCATTTCCTATTTTAAATATGTCAACAACCACCGGACCTTTTGAGCAACACACCACATTGCCAACCTCTCCCCGACTGCCCGGGATTTGCACCCAATCAGATTCTTGCAAGAGGGGCCCTTTTCTGAGGGTTTTCCACCAACTCAGGGGGATCCTTTCTATTAGGTCCCCTAGTGCGGTTTCTGACCTATGGCTATGTCGCAATTTCTGCCGGAGCAGATCCAGGTCAATCCAATCCCTTGTGTATGTGTCCCAGATATCCCTTATTCTAAGTAT